GCCCAGCCCCCAGGGTGGACTTACCCCCCCCCCCCCCCCACTGATCCATCAGTTGGACAGGAAGCAGCTGTTATCACCGTCAGACCGTGGGAATCTCTGTCTGTTTGTGTCTGTGAGCCACCACCGCCACCGTCACCCCCGGTGTCGTCACCACCGTCACTCCCAGTGCCGTCACCACCGTCACCCCCGGTGTCGTCTCCACCGTCGCCCCCTGTGTCGTCACCACCGCCACCGTCGCCCCCGGTGTCGTCACCACCGCCACCGTCACCCCCGGTGTCGTCTCCACCGTCGCCCCCTGTGTCGTCACCACCGCCACCGTCGCCCCCGGTGTCGTCACCACCGTCACCCCCGGTGTCGTCACCCCCGGTGTCGTCTCCACCGTCGCCCCCTGTGTCGTCACCACCGCCACCGTCGCCCCCGGTGTCGTCACCACCGCCACCGTCACCCCCGGTGTCGTCACCACCGTCACCCCCGGTGTCGTCAGGTTCGTCTTTGGCAAAAGTCCCAGGTTTTTGTGGTTTGAAACGATCGATTCTAGGGGGCGCTATAGAGAGGAAAATCAATGTGGGTGGGGTGTATTTTTAGACTGTAGGGCATTTCCTGTTGAGAGGCCGAAGAGTCGGGCAGAGTGTGTCGGTACTCAGCTAGCTAGCTAGCTAGCTAGCAAGTTTGCTAGCTAGCTAGCTAGTTTGCTATGCTACGTTCCAGTTGTCCTCCTTTCACTGAATCAACAACCAAACAAAAACAAATCCTTTCCTCTGTTTTCACTGCGTTAGCGGTGCGTAGCTAACGGATGCTAATCCGTCTGGTGTTCGATCCCTGACCGTCCGCGGTGCCACTGACGGTACCAGTACGGACCGGTACCAGAACTGGACCTCACGGGGAGTTCTGTTTGGTCAACGTTGACTTTGCTGTTTATAAAACCTGAGCTGACGGTCCAATCAGCACGCAGCTCTGAGTCCATGAGAACCGTCCGTCCTCACGGTCCGTCCTCACGGTCCGTCCTCCGTCCTGACTGGTTGACGACAGACTGGTACGTCTGTCCTGTTCTACCAAATACTTTCTCCATCTGCTGCAACTGCTGCTGCTCACACTGAGGGGGTGTGTGTGTGTAGTATGCTGCGGTTCTTGGCTGGCGCCAAATTTAGTCCCAGACCCTGAACCTCGGTCTCTCTGCTCTGAAGTTCCTATCAGACGATCACTTGAAGCGACGTCCTGTATCAGCAGACGGACCAGACCGTCCTTCAACACACACACACACACACACACACACACACACACACACA